TCTCTCTCTCTCTCTCTCTCTCTCTCTCTCTCTCTCTCTCTCTCTCTGTGTCTGTGTGTGTGTGTGTGTGTGTGTGTGTGTGTGTGTGTGTGTGTACCAGGTACTGACCTGCGAAAGGTGTCCCCTTCATGCAGGTACGGACGCCCTGAAGACGAAGCTGGAGCGATGGCGTCGCAGGTAAGCCGTCAGGTAAGTCCCCTGGTCTCCACCACAGCTGGCCCTCTCCCGAACCTCTGCCGCAGAAGGCTCCAGCTCTAGCTCATGGCCTGAAACCTTACGCAGCGCTCAGCGTTGGAAGACTACAGCTCTACCTATCGTCGACTACAATTACTACCTGAAGAATGTCTACGAGGCTGAGGTGGACCAGCTATAAATAGTGCTCGTCCGGCCTCTGATGTGCCTCAAATCGAACTCCGGCACCTAAAACTGGCGCCCAAACTGAGCCTGGACCTCAACCGCTGACGCCTTACATGGTCAGGCCCGGCAGGGCCCGTGTGGAACTCAGAATGCCACAGATGACCCCCTCCTCTTATCTTCTCTTTCCGTTACATTTGTGTACAACATGCTCGCCGGTGATAAGCAACCGGACTGATGCTCCCCAGAATAGAAGGGGATTGTCTCTTCGGAGGAGGGGAAACAAAAAAAAAAAAAAACATAGTCAATTTCAAGGTTGGCCTGCAGACAACTGGCATCTAGGGGCGCACTGATATCAGCAGGATCAGCACCAGTCCGAGTAGTTCTCATTTGGGTACGGCTTTAATAACACCCAATATGATCAAATGACCTTGCCCATGGACAGACATTGCAGAGGCCCAGTGGGATGCATCCTTTCAACATTGAAATTGTTGAGGACGCATACTCGAACTCAGGCTCCGCTGTAAGCTTCCCCTGCCTCTGACAATGTCACAAACAAGGAACCTTTTCCCACGTTACAGCTCAGAGAAGCACTCACAACAGCCACTGAAGGTTTCAGGGTATTCTTCTTTTCTCATAGATTCTCCGCTTTTGCCCGTTTTTGCCTTTTCCTTTCCCCCCCCCCCCTTTTTTTTAAGGCTACCAGAGTGGTCCGGGACCACTTGCCCGGCCGGGCCAAACAAAATTAAAAAAGTAAAAATCATGGTAACTGACCGGATCTCCGGACCAGGTTCCAGAGTCTGGAGCCAGATGTCGGGGTCCAGTGTCCGTTCCTGAATGTCCAGAAACAGGACCCCATTGAAAAAAAAAAAAAGGGGGCTTCCAAGGACATTTTTCGGGTCCCGGGCACCCCCTGAAAAATACGGGGGCGGGTTTTTGGCTTCGTTTCGGCCTACCGGACAGGGGTCCAACAACCGGACACAGGTGACTGAGGTGGGTTGGAAGGTGGTTGGCGAGCCATTTTCGAAGTTGCCGTTTTCGAAAATCCCGCCCGCCGCTGCTTCCAGTTTCCGGAGCGGCCCACGTCCTTCTTGCATCTGCCGAAGTCCCTGCGTGCAGCCATCGCCGATAGCAGGAGCCGCCAGGAGTTGCAGCCAGCCGCGGCCAGTCAATGACAAAGCCGCCAGCCAGCAGGTCTCTCTCTCTCTCTCTCTCTCTCTCTCTCTCTCTCTCTCTCTCTCTCTCTCTCTCTCTCTCTCAGTGTGTGTCTGTTTTTTTTTTTTTTTTTTTCCTTTTTTCCCTTTGTTATTTTTTGGGTAGGGGCCATGCTAATCTTCACTGTGTTATTGAACTGACCAGTCCCACGTAATTCAGAATCACAGTATTCTGTTCATCGGACTTCATTTGGTGCCATCTAGATTCTAACCCGGGCCTGCGCCTCAACAGTTCACGGGGAACCAACTTCCATTGGTCATCACCATCACTGGACTGGGAGCGAACGCCAATTTCCTAGCCTCTGAGTCTGAATTTCCTAAGTGTATCTGACTGAGCCGGATGATGACCAGCCTCTGAGAGATCCTGGTGTCATTACACGCTTAGACAGGTGTAGCTTGCCAATCGTTACACCCGGTTCGGGACAACAGACAAGCTGACCAGATTCTATGGCACAGCTTCGAGAAACCATTGGACTGGAACTTGATAATATTTCAAGCACAAAAATTCAATTCACATGGAGAGCTGCAAACACTTCTTTCTGTTATGTCTGCTTAAGAGTTACTTGGTCCTGTCCTTTGGGACATCCGTTACAATCTGAACGATACAGAGAAGATTAGCACAACCCACAATCGAGAAATGGTCCACAGATTTATTAAAAAAAAGAAAAAAGAGTTAGTTGGTCCATGACGGTGTCATTGCCTTCTTACCTCCAACAGCTCCCTTGTGAGTTTGAATGGTGCACTCTCAAAGTTGACGCCACCTGGAGAGTTCGATAACATAAACCCGAAGTCGATGTGGATTACATGTCCCTCGTCATCGAGCAGAATGTTCCCATTATGTCTGTCCTTAATCTGTAGTCAGCATGATACGCAGCACTTGGTCAACAACTCTGTCCACTGTCCTTCACAGCAAACAACAACGTTGCGATTACGGTGGCTAGCAAAAGACAGGCTTCTTGGCTTCCGACTTGGCAAAACCTTCAACAGCCTCGCAAGGCAAAAGACAACAGAGCTTCAGAGTTTCTCCTTCATGAAAGACTCAGAAAGAGTCTTCTTTTTTCTCCAAGAGCATATTCTGTAGATACCCCGGCTGTCAGTGACCACTACATGACACACTTTTAACTTTTTCAACTTTTTCTGTTTGGAAGTATGCAGAGTCGCAGACACTTTTCTCGTTGAGACTACACAGACAGACTTTTTTACTTACGGCTCGCTGCCTCTCTGTTGGAAGGCGAACTTGCTTAGGAAGTTAGGAGCAGAAAACTGAACACAGCCCTCTCACTTCGACGGACTGTCACAACTAGTCTGCATAATTTGGGCAATTTCCATGGCAGGAGTGATGAAATGACCACCACAGGCTGGAGCCTCAGACATGCAGTATCTTGTGAAATTCCTCTACCAGCCTCGTACTGAGGATCGCTTGTTTACACGCAGGGAACTTCTCAAGACAGCAAAGTCTGCTGTCCTCAAGTATGAGGCAGTTAAGAGGGGAGAGTACCATCGACGCTCTGCACACCTGCACTCCTAGCGCGAAGGTCCTCGCTCCGGGGGAGGGCAGGTGTTGCATACCATAACGGTACAGACCAGAACAAGAACCGACCTCTCTCACATAGTACAAGATAGCGCAGCGGAAGGCTACTATACCAATAATCCGAACAATCAATGTTGCAATGCAGACCAAACATATATCATCATTGTTCCATGGTGTGAAGGGGCCTGGGCTCACACAGGAAGAATGCGCCAGTCCCCAACCATACACAGACGAAAAAGAGGGGGGTTAGACGAAGAAGAGGGGAAGATGGGAATGTCGTCAACACCGAGTCTTCAGTACAGGTCCCAAATAATCCCTCGTCCAATGTCTCAATCCCAATGTCGAGTCTGGATCCAAATGTCGTCAAGTCCCAAAGTCACCAATCTCTCTCTCTCTCTCT